AGAAGCAAAGGAGAGCAAGAAGGCAGAACATGACTGAGCTGCTCCAAAGTAGCACTACCTCCTGCTGACCCATACTGAGGGTAGATCGTTTAGCTGCAATCTAACCTTAAATTTTCAGCAGCTGTGTGTTTATCTAAAAGATTATTAAAACACTGTAGTTATAGCACTACCCAAATGTTTGTAAGTGAGCAGAGCCTGAATTTAAGAGCAAGTACAGGTTGAACCTCTCTAGTCTGGTACACTTGGGACCTGACCCGTGCCAAACCAGAGAATTTGCTGAACTACAAGAGGTCAATATTGTCTAGCAGCAGTGCCAACAATTCCACTGTTTATTGGGCTCTGAGAAGACATTTAGGTGTAAATTAGAGCTAAATAAAAGCACAGAACACTAAGAGCCAGGACTAGTGGCTGTAAAACTTTATGGAACTGCTGGAAACTTGGCCACACCCATGATAAGTGGGCATCAGTCTAACTAAAATCATGGTGGACCACAGATGTTGCCAGATCAGAAAGTCTGGATTAGAGAGGTTCAACCTATACATTAAAAGCTTATGATTCAATATATTTAAATATTAAAGTAATAAAAGACTGTTAATGTTAATCATAGAACTTAAATGCATTCACCTATTTTTCCTTTAGTGGGGGGAGGTGTCAAGGACAGAACTAACTACCTCGGTGTTTTTTAAACTGTGTCCTGGGGAACACCGGTGAGCTGTGGAGAACAACAGAGTTCAAAATGGCCTCTCTTAAAGGGGCAGGCGATTTCTTTTTTTCGCTCAATTACTTTCCCCCTGACTTTTTTTTCTCAACAAAAAATCCTTGGTGTTCCTCATTAAAAAAAATATTGTTTGGTGTTCCTCGGTCTTAAAAAGTTTAAGAAACACTGAACGAGCCTGACTCTAATCTTTCTTTAATACTACATTTTATTTTAATTCTTGTTAATTGGAATATTATTCCCTTGTTCCATTTGAACTCTGGCCCATTTGCACTTTATCTCTTCTTCCAGTCATTTACTGCTGCTTTTTATCTTTGGGATATGTGTGTGTTCCAACCCAGAGGTGAAAATACTAAATAATTTTCAACTCTGGTCCTTGCAAGACTCATCAAACCCTTATTAGATTCAATGCCATTTATTTACTTCTTATTCGGCCTCCAGTGTGTTAGGTCTTCTAACTTAAAGCATGTGAGTAGTTCAAATGAAGCCAAAGGCAGTTGTTCGTGTGCTTAAAGTTAGGTGTGTGCTTACACATGTCGCTGAACTGTGGCCTTGATGCCCGTCAATAAATTTGTATGGTCAGTATAGTTACTGTTCAGCAAAATGTTCTGGCTGATGAATCCAGTGGTTCTAAATTGTGGAATGGTCCAAGTCTTTTTAAACCAGATTAAATACTGCCCAGGAGCAACCCAGGGACTGGATCGTGACAGTCACAAGCACCTTCCCAATTTCCCTGCTGCCAATTCAGGTAGCAGGGGAGAACCTATATCTTGCCCAAATAACTCCCACTGAAGCTGAGGGCAGGGAATTAAGAAGACTCTGCCTAGCACAGAATATTTCTTCTGGTACTGCTGCCTTGATATGTGTGTTGGGGGTTCTGCCCACGCACTGAGAAAAGGAGGGCAGTGAATGGGAGTTGTGGTCCTGTGGAAATTGCTGTTCTCCTCCCCCTTCCCTTGCAAAGTGCCTGGTGTTCTGTTCTGTTTCTGTAATGCCTGGTCCTATTTTCTGTCCATGACTAAGGCTTTTAGGTAGCCTTGTGCTCCCTTATTCCCCTTTGCTGCAGCATTAACAACCCCCCATACATTTAGCCTTAGGTAAGAAGGAAAGATAATAGTGTTTTATTCAAAGTAGTTTTAACAATTTTCATATAGGGTAGAATTTGTAAATATAAAGTCAGAACAAAACAGTAACTTTAAGTGAAGCCTGCAGCACTAGGAGCCAAATCCCGAAGTTGTTATTCAGGTACAGTCACTGTTGAAATCAGGGAAATTTTTATCATGAGAAAGGACTGGAGTCTTTGTCCCCAGACTATTTCTGTAAAAGATTTGGAAAACAATTTTCAAATAAAATGAACCTTTCCTGATATATAATAGGCGATAACCAAGATTTTATACAAGAGTAGACTTTAACAATAAACACCTTTTCAATCTGGATAATGTACATGTCAATTGTGTTCAACTGCCCACTTGGTAAATATAATATTCCGGAAGATGTTCTGTGATGCAAGTCAATTTAGTTTCAATAGACTTCGCAAATAAAGCTATAATGGTTTTTATGGGGATACAGCTGGCTTTAACCCACTAGCTTATAATGCAAATAGTCAGATATGAACACAGATATGGTCATACATAGCATCCATCCAGTTTGGTCTTCTGTTTCTGAAAATAACCATCAGTGGACACTTTTGAGAGAAAAGTAAGAAACTACAAAATGGATAACCTGGCCATGGGAGTAGGACCGCACCTGTCATTTGGTAGTTGGCTTATACCTGAAGCACGAGTTACTCTATCCAGTGTAACCATGTGTGTTCTCATTATCCACATTAATACCTAATTCTTCTCTGAATCCTATATTTCGTAGTATAGTATAACTCTCTGATTGGTAAATTAAATTGAATTAGATTTCAAATTTGCTCAATTGGGCTTTCCAGAAAGAATGGTTTGTGAAATTAAAGCTCAGTAATAGGACATGCACTTTGCAATTAGATTTTTTTTCATATTGTTCTTAGTCTCCTAGCTGCACAAGTACTGTAATATGGCTTTCTACTTGCCAAGAAGAACTGTAATACTGTATTGCACATGCAGCTCATATGTTAGAAGTGATTGCTCTTAAAGGGTTCAGTCTTTTTGTTTACTTAATATTGCTAAAAAGCATAGGGAACCAAATAATGAGCAGTTACCATTTGTTCAGCACTTGCATATAGCAGGAGAAGATGGGGACTGTACTCAATAATGAAGGTGCACTTAAGCACTCCTTGCACACTGAAATTAGTCTGGCTAAGGGAGAGGAAAAGCTGAATATTTTGTGGTGGAAGTGGGACATGGCCAGGGCATAGATGTTGAATGGAATCCAGCAAATGTAAATTCTGTAAATAGCTGGTAGCATTACATTTTTCAGATATTCCTTCTGCCAACTGTGAGTAGAGGCTTCATCAAGTGGAAGTTAAAAGAAACTGTTCACTTTTGAGGCTTTTTTTCTTAAAAAGCCACATATCAAACATGTTACTATTAATGATTATAACATTGCTTAAAACTATATTTTAATTTTATGGTATATTAAAATAAATCACATTCTGGACAAAGGATATATGCTGGTCCATGACTCAAATATTTGTTTCCTATTCTCCAAGAGGGCTATGCACAGAGATGGGAATGGGTCAGTCTTAGATTCTATTCCTAACTCTGTCACTAACTTGCTGTGTACCTTGGGCATGTCACTTGACCTCTTTGTCTTAACTTTCTTCACTCTCGAAAGGGAGCATGATAATATATTTGTTTGAATCACAGTAGTACTGTTAAGATGCAATTTATTTTATTACAATATTTTCTTTCCATAAAAACACTGTTTTGTAAAAAAGTTGTAATGTTGCAACTGAACTGCTTTCAGAGAAAAAGCAATACTCTGTAGAGGAGCTGTATACAGATCATGTAAGCTTTTCATTGATCTGAGATTTTTTTAAAGAGCATTCTGAGAAGAGGTTATAAAATGTCAGACATAATCCCTGTGGTAACAGAAGTTAATGCATGGCAGAATCTTCTGAAAGTATGACATTTTACTTGCTTTACTATAAGCTCACAGCCAAGCTTGAAGGGGAGTGGCGTCACACTTGAACACTCATTTTTCAGGATTACTGTACTTACATTTAAGTAATTTAGTGGAAAGAAAATTTTCATTTTATCCAGTTACACTGTATTGTGGTTTTGCTTTCATTGGTGGTGAGCTGGTGGTAAAGCATAAGTTTTTCAATTCTTATTGGTGAGAGAAGGTAGGTGAGGTAATATCTTTTATTGGACCAACTGTTGGTAAGAGAGACAAGCTTTCAAGCGACACATAACTCTTCCTCAAGTCTATGGCTGTACATTTTAACTATGTGATTTGTATTGCTTCCACCTCCATACCACATGCCATTATCCTTTTGCTTATAGGAAAGATGCAAGAGAGGCAAGGCAAGCTTTCAAAAGTAACTCCACTGTAGGCTTAATAAGGAAGGAGAGCTGCAGGTGCTGTATACGAGCACTGCACATTTCCATTGGACCCAGCCTTTCATCCCCTTCCTGCATCAGATTTTCATTGGTTGCTCTAGTCTGTTCTGGCACACTGAGACTCAGGCTCTCACAAATATAAAAATAGCTGTATCAGTCATGCCCCTCCTTCAGTAAGGTGCTATTCCATTCTGTGAGGCAGTGATGACTAGAACTTCCAGATTAACACCCCTGTCGTTTTAATTATATTGTCATGCACCACATGAAACAGAGTTTCATGTGTTTAAAAGGGTTATAGTACTCAGGTAGAGACATTTGGGATTCTTGTAGTTAAGTTCTACTGTGTTTAGGGGAGGGAGGAAAAGGAGGAGGAAGGACACTATAGTGTCCTTTAGAGCAAACAAAGACACATAGTGCCAAATTCTGCCATCTGTCAAGCATCTTTCTATTCAAGTAGTTCTACTGAAATCCAGGGACCATTTGTGTGGCTTGGTGCTGGCCATTATGAGAACAGCAAAATCAAGTCCAAAGTGTGTTTAGCAAATTCAGGACTTCCACAACTGGCAAGTAATTGCAAATGAAATTACACAAGGAGGGTGCCTGCATAATGATCATCAAACATTTGAGAGTAAATATACTGAAAGCAGGGCCATTGATGACCCTGGGGGCAATCTGCTAGTCTGGCGGGTGATTAGATATTGATTTTTCGGCAGTTCCCAAGATATTATTTCATTTAGCGTCTCTTAAATGAGATCCAAATAGTGTTAAAATCACTTTCTTTTATTTCTTTTGACTTTCAGATAGTTTGAATCTCAATATCCAGCTGTTGGGGTTCTTCAGACTACAGTTGATGTGTTGAAAGATTAACTCAGACGCCATCAGTGAATGTGGGTTGAAGGCCTCCAGCATGTCAAGAAAGACCAGAAAAAATGCAATGAACATTATGCATCCGGGAAGATGAGAGAATTTCTTAAAAGAGAACACACCAGAAACCTTTCTGTCATGCAGCTGGAAGACGTGGTCACACATTTTTGATATCTGTCTAATTTTCTAACGAGCTCCCTATCAGGCTGTCTGGTGACCTTGTAAATCTTGGACCTTTGTGACAAATGTGCCTTTGAAATTTGCAGTAAACAGTTCATTCTCTGGAAGAGCCAACTGTTAGAAAAATCACTATTTGAAGAATCATGTCAAAAAACCTGGAGATCATCAATTTGTCATTTTTATTGGAACATGAAAGGGAAACAATACTGGGAGTATTGAAGAGGGATGAGTATTTGAAAAAAGTGGAAGATAAGAGGATAAGGTAATCTTTTAAATTTTCTTTAAAAATTTTTTTCATTCTCTCTTGGTTGAGTTGTTAGAATACAGGAGAGTGCCAGACGCTGTTTTTGATTGAAAAGTCCGATCAGAAAGGAGACCTGACAATGTCTGGGCAGATCTATTGGCTGGATACCCAATGTTTGATTACTGAGTGTGGGGAAGGCAGGGAGGTACTGATTCATCACCCACTCCCCTGCTTAATTCACGCTGCCTCCTAGTTTTGTCAGGCATTTGCAGCTCCCAGGTCTGCAGGTAAAACCCTCCCAATTTGGGTAGGAGAAGAGTAGTGAGTGATGAGGGAAAGGAGGAAGAGAAGTGAATGGCGAGGCACTTGTGTTGGAGTGCCTGAATTTTAGTCATTATAAAGTTGCCATTTCTAAAACTGGGGTCTGATTTGAGGGTCTTTTTGCTGCTGTGTGGAGTTCTGAATTTCAAGAGTGACTTTAGCACATCTGCTCAATTAGTCTCATGCAAATAGAAGTATGGTAGAAGTGGTAGGTGGGGAGAAAATGCTACTAATGCATCTTTATGTAAATGTGTGTGACTCATGCATTGCTACAGGTATAAGAGTGGGGAGAATGATATCCTGGATAGCAGAATCATTGGAAACTTAAATCCAGTCATTTTTGTTAACACAGAAAAATGAATTCTGTAGGTTTGTTGTTTCTTTGTTTCATTTCTTAAGCAGGAATATTACTTCAATGCAAGGTAGCCTGCAACACAATGCAAATGCATGCTGAGAATTAATGATACTTAGATCTACTGCATACCTTGGAAATTTGCCAAAAGATTGTCTAAATAGCTTCGTAGGATATAAATTTGATAAAGATTTGGCATAATGAAATCCAATACTTTGCATTGAACATATGCACAAATTCTCTTGATTGATGTTAATTCCATATTTAAGATCCCAGCATTCCTGTTTGATTCCCACAGAAATGTTCAGTGAGTTCCAAAATGACAAAGTCTGTGCTGTCATGCCTCTGTCTGTGTGTACCTAGAATAGAAAGCCATCAGTTAGACACTAAGGCTATGTCTACACTGGTGCGATCTTACGCCAGAAGTATGCAAATGAGGCTAAGTGTGGAATATCGCCGAGCTTCATTTGCATATCTAAAGAGCCGCCATTTTGCGGAAGAGGCTCTTGCGCCAGAAGGAGCTGTCTACACTGCCCCTTCTTGTGCAAGAGAAACCCTCTTGCGCAATACCGTTATTCCTGAAAATAATCAGCGTAACGGCATTGCGCAAGAGGGTTATTCTTGCGCAAGAAGGGGCAGTGTAGACAGCTCCTTCTGGCGCAAGAGCCTCGTCTGCAAAATGGCAGCTCATTAGATATGCAAATGAGGCTTGGTGATATTCCATGCTTAGCCTCATTTGCATACTTCTGGCGCAAGATCGCGCCAGTGCAGACGTAGCCTAATATAATTTTTTGGTAAAATGGTGGCTATTCTACAATAAAAAGTAAAGTATTTATTTTCTAGTATGTTACCAAGATAATTTTTTTATTGACAGCCTGATTAACTCCCACGCTGAAGGTAACTGGAAAAATGTATGGCAAATGTTTTGTATTTCAAGCAGAGTTGGAAAATATCCCATGATATTGATTCTGCTGCCATCTTTGGACTTATCCCATGCACTCAGAAGGATTAAACAAAACTTTTTGGACACTTCTCTGAGAGTGTGATTATTTTTTTGTGTTCATTCAGAGCCATTGAGAGAGAGAGAGAGAGTACACAAAATGTCAGTGGTAGCAACAAGAAATAGCTCCATGCTGCTTTCCCCGGATAATGTTTAGGGAAGGGGTTTTGTCAGTCAAGATGTTAGGAGAGGACCCTTGCCTTCTAGTTCTCAAAAGACCATGGAGAAAGGTGTAGAGGCTAAAGAGTTAGTAACCCTGCGCTTTCCTGAAAGATTACACAAGGTTAGAATTGGAAGAGGATTGTACGGGGACAGTGATGTTCAGTGGGGTTGGATGCAGATATTTCAGATGACAATTCAAATTTGGCTGTTTCATTTAAACATCCATCCCAGAGGTGGGTGAAAGGGCCTCCACAGGCCAGATCTGGCCTGCCAAGCGAGTGGTTCCAGCCCGTGGAGGCCCTGCTTCTTCCGCACCCCCAGGCCAATTAGGGCCTGGGGCTAGGGGAGCGCACAAAGCCTTCTCTGCTCTGCCCCCGCCCTGCGAGTAGCACCTGTAGCTTGAAAGTGCTGTGTGTTCCTGGCAGGGCGGGAGGAGGCTTTGCGTGCTCCCCCGCCCCCAGGCCAATCAGGGACTGGGGATGAGGGAGCTGAGCGAAACTTCCTTTACCCTAGCCCAACCCTGTGGAAGCATACGGAGCTTTGAAGTGCCGCATGCTCCTTGCAGGGTTGGGGGAGGGCGGAGGAAACTTAGCACGCTCCTCCAATCAGGGTTTGGGGGCGGGGGAGTTTCATACTCCTAGCAGGGTGGGGGGGCAGAGCGGAGAAACTTCGCTTGCTCCCCCGCTCCCAGTCCCTAATTGTCCCGGGGGCGGGGGAGCGTGGAAAGCCTCCTCCTGCCCTGCCAGGAGTATGTGGCTCTTTGAAGCGCCGTGTGCTGCTCGCAAGGGGATGGGGGAGAGCAGAGTAGGCTTTGCAAGCTCCCCCGCCCCCAGGCCCTAATTGGTCAAGAGGTAGGGGAGTGAAGGAAGTCTTCTCCCACACCAGGGGCATGGGCACCTTGGGGGAACTTGGAGTGGGGAAAAGGCACTCCCTCACCCCCAGACCAATCAGTGTCTGGCGGTGGGAAACACGGAAATATCTTGCCTGATGCCCCACCCCTTCTACTTGATGCCCTGCCCCTTCCTGTGCAGCCCAGGGCCACTTCAAAGATTTTCAGAGTGGCCCCTGGCAAAAAATTATTGCTCACCCCGATCCATCCTCTGAAAATTTTGATGCTGCTTCTCCCTACATTTTTGTGTTGTTTGGCTCTGAGAAACAAATTTAGGAATGCATTTATATGTGTCACTTGATCAGGGAAGGCTGGTTTAGAATGTGCAAGATATACCATGTTGCAAACTGAGAAACAAAATATTCATTTGTTTCTACTTCTGTATTCAAAGGCCAGGCTGTGCCTTGTTTTTCTCCTTGGATTGGCAAGTGTCACAGACATGTGTATTCAGCACCCACTGAGGTCACTGGATATTGATCCAGATACAATTGTATAGTTGTGGGTCTGTATTAACTTCTTTTTTCCTCCTCCCGCCCAGGTAAATGAGGTAACTAGAGTAAATGCGGTGCACCCATTGCTGTAGACAGCCTCTTTACCCAGTGAGAAATGTGGCAGCCTGAGTAAACAGAAAACCCTTCCTTTTGCCTGAGCCTAGCCTGGATCAGTTAATGTAGGAGTAGAGTAATGGAGTGGCAGCCGTGGCATTAGTACTTAATTTGCTCTAATCATGGTTATCACTGAGTTGAAGAAAGGAAGTGCAGACCCAGCAACATTTGAGACACAGTTTGTTCTAGCAATGGTGCTTATTCTTAGAGCAGGATCAGCCTTAATAGACAGGGATGTTGCAAATTAGACAGAAGGCTTGCAAGCTCATAGTTGGGCATTTAGACTCTGCAGCTGGCTCAGAAATATGCCTCTGATAGGGAATTTTGAGCTACATGGGTATCTCTGAAGTTGCTATCATGCTTATATGCTTCTAGCAGATTCCTGCATCAATTCCAGTAGGTCAATGAACCACTGGCTTCCTAAGCTGTCTGCAGCAGCTTCCGCATTCAGTTGTCATCCTTTCTCAAGCTCTGATTGTGCTAAGTTCCCGTCCCTTGATGGTCTCTTAAAAACCCTGCCTGCCAGTCCCTTTGAGTGTGGCTTAGCAAAGTGGTGATATGTTCTGCCTAAGGGGGTAATTGGAGGATTTATTGGCTTTTTATCTAGTAGGAGAAGACCTCCTGAACATCTTGAAAACAGAAATTAATGTGAAGATCCTGATAATTAAGAGGAACAATTTGGGGAAAAAAATCTTAAATCTAGTGCAATGCATGCATACTTTCCAGCAACTTCAGAGGCTAGTGAACTCAAGTCCCTCAGGTTATTTGGAGAATTGTCCCTCAAGTGTGTTTTGCATCCTGTATCTGATAACATCAAACTCCACGACCTTAAACAATCTCACAATATATCCAAGCTATGTTTGGATCTGAAGAGGGGGCTAGGAGGATTACCCTACTTCCAGGGAGAAATTGTCACTCTGCAGCTAAATTATCACCATCAAGGATATCTGTTATCCTTGGCTCAGAAATATACTTCTGATGAACATGTTTTGTCCTTGGGATGCCAGGTGGTGCAATCTGGTGTGTGCCTTATCAAAACATATTTCACAGAAGAACACAGTCTTCTACACTGGATTTGTTTTTCATTCTGGCAAGATGCTCAATACCCGTGTTGTATTTAACAGCTTTAATAGGATTACTAGGAGACCTACCCGGTGTTGCCTGGGTCCTTCAGGGCAGGGGGCTGGTAGTGTGGGGATGCAGGAATCAGGGCAGGACTTGGGGATGTGGGGGAAGGGGCAGTGCAGGAGGCTGGAGGATTGTGAGAGTGATGTTTGGGGCATCAGAAGGAGCTAAGGGGAAGGAGGGGATCCATCTGGCACAGAACCATTCTCTCTCCCAACCCTCCCATAGCCACCAGGCACATTTCGCCTTCCCCCGCAGTGCTGTGCCCAAGGGCCTGGAGGTGGGAAAGGGTTTGGGGCAGGGGCACAACTTACTGGTGTGCTGGCAGGCAAGATTGCTAAGCCCCAGGTCTGCTGGCCACTCCCTTGGTGGTGTATGGCTGTGCCCAGTGGATTCTCTCCAGGATAGCTCTGCCCTGCGGGCTCACTGCCCATAGTGCCCACTCTCATGTCGTGTCCCCCTGAACTGCAGCCCCCTCCCTTTACATGTTATGGAAAAAAGTCCTTTTCCTGGGGCTTCTGGTTCTCCCAGCACAAGCAAACCCTGACCCTGAGCTAAGTTAGG